GCACGCACGCCGGCACGCCGGCCGGCGGACTATGAAAGCAGCCATTCGTGTGACGTGTTACCGTCGTCCTGCAAATGTGAGCATCGAGTATCTCTTCGTAGCTCAGTGCTGCCTACATATTATGTCTATCATTTCTTTTCGCTAAATCACCTCACCGGAAAATGAAACATTCAGTACTTGAAGAGCATTTGAACACAGCGTAGTTTCCGGACTTTGTTCATATTTTAAGTCACAATTACCTAATTTTTACGTGAAGACTTTGATACATTTTTTCACGTGGTCGACGGTTAATGACTGTCTTGCTAAGTCCATTGCCAGCAAAATTGATGAACAACGAAAAAACGAAGAATAGCGGTAATAAGTTTTATTCTTGTCAGTTACTAGTTCACCAATATCTAATGGTACTGCTGAGTAGCTCAGTCACTCATTGGAAGAGAGCTCAAGTACGGGTCTTGCTTACAATCCTTTGGTCTTGAAAACTGCTTGAAAGTAACCGTACGATCTGCTGACACCTGAAAAGGACTTGTAAACAATGTTGAGAAAAATCACAACTGTGAATAATTTTTTCCTGTCCCCTTCTCTGAGACGCCAAGGACTCATCCGAATGTTAGTTCAACTGATTCTAGGAACTTGGCCCACTCGCCTCAAGAACTCAGATCAAGGTATGGTTGCTGTGATAGAAATTCTGTTACGCGCTTAGAATTGATCAGAAGAAATCGTGATGACTTAAAAAATGATTTGTATAGGGATAGCCATCAGAGGTATCCTTAGTACATACTCCGCTTGTCGAGAGAGTCGTGTGGAAGTTGCGGAAAGGGATCTAATTGGACATTGGACAAATGGAACTATGCCAAGTACCAACTGACTCAACTGTGCTATTTGTTTTAAAAGTTTTTGCTTAGAATCTGTAAATTATTTTATGCCACAACAAAGAACTTACAATCATCACAGCTCCTTTGTTAATGTAATGGTCTTGGTAACCAGGGGCGCTGAATAGCGTTATTACTCTCCGATCACCCGAGATTTCAAATCCTTCATCTACTGCCTGAATCTGGCACATGAACAAAGTAAGGGAAATAAGAATAGGAACAGACCTGATGCCCACGGACAATCATTAGAATGCCCATTTTTGCGCAGCGATCGACTGCTACATCGGTTCCGAATACTGAAATCTTCTGACTCATAAGAAACTGGCAGGAAATCAGTTCAACTCATGTATATCACCATAGGAGCAACCACGTTCTAAGTTGGTCTTAAAGCCAGTGCACAAAGGTGAAGGATCAGCCCACAGAAGATCTTCTACAAGACCGGATGGTTCTATTGTGCCTCTGAAACACTGCTTTCGAAAGTTGCTGACGGATATTTCATCACATGGTTTTCCTTAGCATGTTTGATTGGGCATCACGTCCTCCGGCTTCGGACGATCTCTAATTTAAAGGCACCTATCACAAAAAAGTTAGGGTACCCTTTTCTGACGGGAATTGATAGA